CAGGTGCTTGAGCTTGGATAGCATCTACTTGTTTTTCAGTTATTAATCTGTTTGTGGCTTTAGAAATTTATAGTATCTGTACATTTTCTTGAATAATCAGTTAATAACACTTCCCTCATATTTCTATTAATTGAACAAGTCGCATGTATATATCTGCATAATCTTTCTGGAAAGAATGTGCCATTCCACCTTATGTGCTTCATTTGATAGTGTACAGTGATGTACACAATTTATAAGTTTTATAAGCAGCAAGTCTCAAATATAGTTCTCACATTAATAAGAAAAGCTCATGCAACATGTCACGTCATTTTGTGTTATAGTGTTTCTGCATGATTTGAATCCTTCGGAATTGAACTTGCTTCGTTTTTGGGTAATTTGCAGGTTGAAGCCATTATCTCAGGTATTCAGCCTGGCTTAACTATGGTGGTTGGTCCACCTGGTACCGGGAAGACGGATACAGCCGTGCAAATCTTAAATGTTCTTTACCATAACTGCCCTTCTCAGAGAACTTTAATAATTACCCATTCAAACCAGGCTCTGAATGATCTTTTTGAAAAAATAATGGAGGTAAGCCGGTAATTAAGAGCACATTTCCAATGTTTAGTTAACGCCAAACCAAGCTCCTCTATGGATAAGTTCGTGTGTTTTGTATATGGTCAATTATCATTTTAACTATTCTGGTATGACTGCAGAGGGACGTACCTGCTCGTTACCTGCTTCGACTTGGTCAAGGTGAACAAGAATTGGCAACTGACCTTGATTTTAGCCGGCAAGGTCGTGTGAATGCCATGCTTGTTAGGCGGCTGGAACTCCTGGGCGAAGTGGAGCGTCTTGCACGATCTCTACAACTGCCTGAGGATGTAGCTTATACTTGTGAAACTGCTGGTTATTTCTGGTTGCTTCATGTTTACTCACGCTGGGAACAATTTTTAGCTGCCTGTGCTGAGAATCAAGATAAACCAACATTTATTCAGGATCGATTTCCTTTTAAGGAGTTCTTTTCTAACACAACCAAACCAATTTTCACTGGCGTGTCCTTCGAAAAAGACATGCATGCAGCTAAAGGTTGCTTCCGGCACTTGAAAACTATGTTTAAGGAGCTTGAAGAGTGTAGGGCATTTGAGCTGCTCAAGTCAACAGTTGATCGTTCAAACTACCTTATGACAAAGCAAGCGAAAATAGTAGCGATGACTTGTACCCACGCAGCTCTCAAACGGAAAGATTTCCTGCATTTGGGCTTTAAATACGACAACTTGCTAATGGAAGAAAGTGCGCAAATATTGGAGATTGAGACATTCATCCCAATGTTGCTGCAAAGGCAGGAAGATGGTTATGCTCGGCTTAAACGTTGTATATTGATTGGTGACCATCACCAGCTACCTCCTGTTGTGAAAAATATGGCTTTTCAAAAGTACAGCCATATGGATCAGAGCCTGTTCACAAGATTCGTCCGTCTAGGAATTCCTTATATTGAGCTCAATGCGCAAGGAAGAGCTAGGCCTAGTTTAGCTAGACTTTACAATTGGAGATATAGAGAGCTTGGCGATCTTCCTAATGTGAGGGAGAATGACATGTTTTGTAGAGCAAATGCTGGATTCTGTTATGACTATCAGTTGGTGGATGTTCCTGATTACCATGGGAGAGGTGAAACTGCACCTTCTCCCTGGTTTTATCAAAATGAAGGAGAGGCTGAGTATATTGTTAGTGTTTATATGTACATGCGATTGCTTGGGTATCCAGCCAACAAGATATCCATACTGACGACATACAATGGTCAGAAACTTTTGATTCGTGATGTTATTAATCGACGATGTGTCCCTTATCATTTCATTGGGCCACCACACAAGGTACTTTATCTTTATACTCCTTGTCTTACAATTTTTGATTTGACTTGCCCCTTATTATTTGATGTGGCTCTTTGGCATGCTCCTATGTTAGCACCTCCACATATTTACAAGCAATGTAATGTACTTAATGCTCAGTAAAGGTGGTCAAATAATTTTTTATTTTTATTTTATTTTATTTTTTATTATTATTATTTTTTTGGTGGGGATAAATGGCATTTACTAGATCTTGATGTTGATTCCATAATTTTGGCCTAAAAAATCTGGGTAAATGGCATTCTACTTATGTTTACTTTTTACAGTCATGAGAGAAGTAACGCACCTTTGCTGTATAACTGAGAATGTTTTTAATCTGGTAATCAGATACACATGGTTCGGTTGCCACTTTTTGCGGTTTTAATTCAATGTTTTCAATGGTGGATAGCGGCAGGCCAAGTCCTCCCTTAGTGGCCGCCATAAAAAATTTCTCATGGTGGTTCGGCCGGAATGTGCCACGCCTTACTGCCATTTGATGACACTGTTATAAATTTACTCAATTCCTCATCCATGCATTGTTTACTGGATCAATAATATTGCATTAGAAATACAATTTCAGGCTTAGAAACCACTTAGGGAATATCCATTTCCACATGTAGAAGTGGTCAGCTTTGGATGATATCTAGGGTGTGGCATGGTTGTTTTCTAACCATGCCACCTGCCTTATTAGTGGTTCTATAGAGTATTCTTTCAGAGTTATTCACATGATTATCGCTTATATTCACTTTTTTTTCAAACCGTAGGTTACCACAGTTGACAAGTTTCAAGGACAGCAAAATGATTTCATCTTACTATCTCTTGTTCGTTCGCGATTTGTGGGTCATCTCCGTGATGTAAGAAGATTGGTTGTTGCAATGTCTCGTGCTCGGTTGGGGCTTTATGTTTTCTGCCGCCGTTCTCTGTTTGAACAATGTTACGAGCTGCAGCCTACGTTTCAGCTTCTGCTTCAGAGGCCCGACCATCTTGCCCTGAATCTAAGTGAGGTAACAGCATATACAGACCGTCATGTTGGAGACACAGGGCCAATCCAGCTTGTTAGTGGAGTTGATGAGATGGCTAACCTAGTAAATTACAAGATGCACCTGGTCTACCAGGTAAACCTCATCCTTAGCAGTAATCTTCAGTTTTGCATGATATTCCCGTCTTTTTTTCCTCACATTCCATTTTGTGGAGGGATAATGATCCAGTAACTACAACTTATCTGTTGCCAATTGCTTTAGTTTTCTCACATTCATCAGATGCTCAGGTTTTTTATCAATTCTCTGATCGTCTAGTTTTACAATTGATTTTCGCTTAAGTCATTTGTTTATTAGGCCATCATACAGATCAATATATTACATTGGCCCACTTTGAAGTTTATACGGTACTTCATAACTGGTGGTGTAATAGTAGACTTGCAAGTCATGGTAAATATATTGTAATACTTCATCGTACAAGTGTCTCTTGACCCAGGGTTGCTCTTCGACTTACTCCGAATTTATGTTGATCCAAGAGTGTTATATTGTTCTCAATGCTGCCACTAACAAAATGGCAGTCTTAATAGTTTTGAAGGATAGTTAAAGGTGCTACCCTCGACATATATAGCCTAATCAAATCCCCTCCCCCACCCAGAAGGAAAAACATAAACAAAGAGAAGAAGAATAGAAAAAGAAAAATAATTATCATTTGAAATTACTACAATTGTTTTAGATAGTACAAGAAGTCACTAGGATGTGTTTGTGTTTTCTTAGTAACTTTGTTTGGTGGTTGTATTTTATAAAATGTGATCCAGTAATCTAGTGGTTTCTTGTTGGTTTAGGACGATCGATGGATCTTTTGTCTAGGTTGAACTTTTTATTGTTCATTTTTCTTTCCATATGGAGGACCTTTGTTTAATGCTTTTAAGATGTGGTAGCCTGCTTTCTTGTCTGGGCATTGTGTTGGTTTGACTGAACATAAATTGTACTTATATTTCTGCTTGCTCGATCTATGGTATGGTTTGACTGAACAGTGATTATGTACGTTCCCTTTCGATTTCAACAGACAAGCACAATGAGTTATCAGTTGAATCAGTTGCCAGCTGATTCAGGAGAAGTGGCGGTGGAGAGAGAGGAAAATGGTATAGGGAATGGAGAGACACCAACTGTCGGGGCCATGGATATTGATATGCATGCCCCAACAAATGGCAGTGACAAGGACATACAACCTGATGTTGACCAGTCAAATCATCTTGAGGCTTCTGTTGAAGATGTAGTCCCATAATGATATGCCATTCTACAAGTTAGTGCTGTATTCTGATATTTACTAAACCATGGAAAGAATTGGATGAGCCATCAAGAAATGATGATTTAGAATCTTAAGGCCCGTCTTCTTGTACACGATTTTGGAGTTCGTGATTGTGGCTGGGCTTTCTGAAGTTGTGACGTGGCTATCGAGTTCAAAATTTTCTGATGCTGCTTGGAAAAAAAAAAAAAAAAATTGTGTTCAATGATCTATGCAGACTTGGTCTGTGAAGGATCCCAATTTACCAAGTATACCAATGTTCAGAGGGTATTGGTTATAGGCAACCTTTGGCTATCCCAATTTGTAATCGTACTGCTACAATCACTTGGATGAAGTTGTCATGTAAGACCATACAAGTATGTGTTCGTATTTTTACCTAGTAAATCAACTTTTATTTTATTTCATTTTTTCTCCCCTTCTTTTCCAGTGGCGCCTGTTGTGGTATAATGTGTTCTAAACGTTACACTGATTTTTGGCGGTATGAGACGGCACGAAATACTTAACCATTCTACCAAGATGTAAAACTCAACTCCTTCACAATTTCAATATTTTGCAGCACCTTCTGTGAAAATAAGAAATCAAGCAGAAAACACAATTATACTCCCAAAAATAGGAAAAAAGAGAAAAATATAAAGCATCGAGGTGTAAAAAACCACTCCCTTGAATATGAATTTGATTCTGTCTTATATTTTGTTTTGATTTTGTTTTGTCCTCCTTAGATACAAACTCTAAGTCTGCCCTTATGCTACTACTAGAGAGCAAAACACAACGGTAAATATAATGCAGAATCAAAACCTAAAAAATTCTTCACAATTTTGTGTGTGTGTGTGTTTTTTCCTTAGACCTTAAGCTCCCAACTCAGAAATAAGTACTCTGTTCTTGCAACAGCTCAAGCTGTGCCAACACTTTAGCCACTGCCGGCGCCAGCATGGCATCACCGTTGTGTGCAAGATCAATAAGAACAACCTGTGCACACTCTCCATACTCTTTCCTATAATCTTCGACCCTAAACACTCTCTCCAATATCCACAGCGCTCTCTCTCGGGCCTTGAAGCTCCCGCACCTCAAAACCTTAATAACCGCGCAAACTCCCCACATTTTCTCAAGAAATCTACACCCCTCCTCCCAAATCTCGTCCACCAAAAGAGTCGAGAGACAGCTCATAACCGCATCGTCCGCTCCCCTCTCATTGCCTAACAGAATACCGACCAACGGGCCCACAGCTCGGGCCTTCACCAAACAAAACGTACCCTTCACCGAACAGAAACCTTTATGAACTTCACACGAAGCATCCATTGTGGGCTGCATGCAAAACCACTTTGCCTTACCCGAATTGCTCAGATGCAATGTGTTTTTTGACATTTGAGCCAAACACAAAGCCACCTTGGATATAATTATGCTTTCTGAACTGCATGACAGAAACTTGATGAGAACATCAATTATGCCACTTTCTGCAGAAAACTGCTGTAAACTCTTGTCACTAGGGTCTGTAAACCGAAGCATTAGACTGGCTATACTTTCTGCCAAGCACACAGTCGTGCTCGTGAGTGTTGAGTTTATTTGGATCGAACTCATTTTAGATACCATTAAAGGCACTAGCTTCGCCTTCATAAGTATTTCCGTCACTTTTTTATCACTCATTGGCAAATTCGAAAGTATCCCGAGTGCTTCCACCATTTCTATTTCCGACCCGGAAGTCGAGGCAATATTGGCAACTACACTCACATTTGAGTAGTCTAATTGTTGTATTAGCTCCCCTTGATTATCCTTGGACAGCACGTGGACCAACCTGAGTGCGCCTGTCCTAATCCGAACGTCTCTCTCTTTGAAAAACGGTAATACAAGATTAATTGCACCATTTTCTTTCATTTTCCTCCTTACATTGACAGCACCCGAATGGGAAACAATGTTGTACAATGCTTCAAGAAGATTTTCTTGCACGGCCGGTGTGGACACGTTCAAGAGTGAAAGCATCTGGTGGGTCACATCCATTTTCTTCACGAGTATGCTTTCTGATTTTGCTATTTTTGCAAGGATGGCAGATGCTGGCTCCCTTAAGGTCATTAGGACAGAAGTGACTGAGAATAGGAGCTGTAAGAGGGGAACGAGTATGCTCGAGTCGATGAGGTGTTTGGTGTTATGGCTCGAGTCGGACAGGCTTTGAAGTGCGTTTAGGGCCGAGAGCTTGGCTTCAAGGCTGCCCCTTTGGAACATGTGCACGAGTGGCTCAATCGCGCCTTGTTGGCCGAGGGAGTATTTGTTTTGTTCTGTGAGTTGCAGTCTGGATAGTGCAGTTGCCATGAGAACCTTACTCATCTCCGAGCCTTGAAAAAAAAAAAAAAAAAAGAGCTTTTACAGTCTCAAAATAATGCATACAACTAAAAAAAACATAAGAAATACTTTTTATTCTTTTACCTTCCTTTAGGTAGTTAATTAGAGGTTCGAAATAAGCAGCCTCAGCCATATGAAGAGCATGTTGAGTGTTGCCAGACATGCTATGCAGCAGCATGTTAGCATCACGAGAAGCCTCTTCGTCGTCCCCATTGGCAATGGCAACCAACATCAAAATACAACCCTTTATTCTGCCTATTCGTCTCTTAACTCCAACATCTTCCGATAGGCTCAACAAAAGCCCCACCGCCTCTCTTCTTTCCTCCACACCCCTCGTCAGCAATTTAGCCAACGTCGATAAAAACTCCAACTCCTTCATATTTTCCTGCACAACTTCCAAATAAAATATAATAAAATCGAAAATGCTGCACACCTTATTTCATATTTTTCCATCTAAACAGTAAAAATTTACCATGTGGCGATTGTCCTGAAGAAGGAGATATCTTAGTGTTTTGACAATAATAACTCTTTCTTGTCCTCCTCTGCACGACCCCAACCGGCTCGTTAACACCCTAATGACGTCTTCATGGATGAGTGTTTGATCAGAAAGAGTGGTATCCAACACAAGTTCACTCAATCTTAAAACTGCATTCTTGAAAGCTTCCCCATCACCACCCTTCACTAGTGTCAACACTCGTGTTTTTTCCTCTGTTTCGTCGTATTCTATCTCGTCAAACTCGAACCTCACGTTCATCATCTCTTTACACAATGCCTCGATTTTTTCCCTGTTTGTCAACGGCACTTCCTGGCCAGCGAAAAACACGAGGCCCAACGAACGCCCGAGGTTCTGCACGAGGTGCTCTATGTGTTTGGTGGGGGGAGACTGAGAGGTTTTACGGTTGACTAAGGCTTTCGCGCGGATATAATCAGTTTGTAACGCGTCGATGGCTTTTTGTACGGCCGGCGAGTCGGTTATGTCTGTCATTTGACTCATGATGGGGTCGAGTTTGTCGATGAAGATCGAGAATTCGGTTAAGGCTTCTGTGTATGGTGATCCTGAGCTTATGGGTGAGGATTCAAATTCTTCCATGTTTGTTCTTTGCCTCCCACTGATTGAGGAGATGGGATTTATGGGCAAAGT